AGACTTTACATCTTCTTTTTACACGTCTCCAGTAAGTTCTTACTTTTATCATTTATGATTAGTATCCCATGCTAAACCCACTCAAACAGCTGTTACACGTTGCGTCATTCAGAACAAGAGACTCATCGATATAATACAACAATATTATCCCTTCTACAAAAAAAAACGTATGGTCGTGAAAATCGCTGCAATTAAAATTGAATCATAGAGCGGGGTAAATTTTAAATCCTTTTATTTTATTTAATCAATTAAAAAATGGTTTTGTTGACCACAACTCACAGCATATTGTCGACAGAATGGGCGACCTGTCATTTACTGCATGTGTTCAATATCTGCTAACTTATTCGTAAGTTTTCGATTTTCAGTAAAATATTTATATCCTTAGGGAAACAGCAAATTAAAAAAAAAATTACTATCAAAACATGTGTTGGTGAGAAAGTGACGTCAGCTAGAGACCGCCTACGTAATGTTTTTCCACAGTGGAAACTAAATAACACCCACAAAAAAATGAGCACAGTAATTCAAATAGTTATAATAGATTTTGGTGAAATAAAGAAAATTGAATCGACGTGTTTATTCTATAATTGAATCAACAGCAAAAGGGAAAAAAACTTTAATGTTTGAAGTTTTCAATTTTTCTTGCGTAGGTTGGCATTAACATATTGACTAAACACGTAAGTGTATATGCGAAGGCCAAGTGCATGTGTGCTAAAGGTTAGCTGGTGGTGTGCTACTTTATGTCTGATTAAAGCTAGCTTGATGTCTGATTTAGACAAGTTTGATGCAGAGTTTCTTCCAGGCATCTCTTCGAAAAAATTTTACCGCCCCCCCCCCCCCCCCCCGAACGAAATGAAATTTAAATAATTAATATAGAAAATATATACTTTTAACAGTGTCCGCCCCCCCCCCGAAGAAAGTCTACCGCCCCCCCTCCCCCGAAAATTTCAAGTGCCCCCCCCCCCCCCCGGAGAAAAAAGTCTGGAAGAAACACTGGTTTGATGTATGATTAAAGCTAGCATGCTGAGTGCCTAAGCTAATTTGCCTAAATTGATATTTTCTTTAGGCTAGTTTCATGCATAAATTAGATGAGCTTGATGTCTGATTTAGGCTTAATTTTTGTCTGATTTAGGTTAGTTTGATGTCTAATTAATGCTAAATTTATGGCTAATTTAGGATATGTTTGCTTGATTGTTTACGTTTTTTGCTTGCGTTTGTGTTTGCGTTTGTTTTTGGGTTTGTGTTTGTTTTTGTGTTTTTTAGTGTGTTTGTAATTGTGTTTGCGTTTTCACTTTTGTTTGTGTTTGCATTACGTTTGCATTTCCGTTGGAGTTTGCGCTTCAGTTTTGATTGTGGTAGGTTGTGGTTTGGGTTAAGCTTAGAGTTAGAGTTAGGTTTAGGTTTATGTGTTATTTTCTAAAACGTCGATATTTTCATACATATATTTAATTGGAAAAGTATATACTTCTTAAAAAAACACACAAGTCACAGTCTTTTACAGATAGTTTTTTTCCATAGAGGCCAGTGCATGGCCTGACCGGGACAGCTAGTAAAAGAATAACAATATACGAGAAAGTTTAGGGGAGATCACTCCCGTTTTATTTTTTTACAAAATGGTCCGGTTCAATATTTGAGTATCACATTCATTCATCCCCAACGTGTAATCTTCCTGTGAAGTAATGCATCGATACTAGTATCGTACATTGATGCTAGTATCGTACATTGATGCTAGTATCGTTATGATCTCTAACGATCCAAGTATCGTGTCCTTGAGGAGTCCGAGTATCTTCAACAGCCCAAGTATCGTATTTATCTTCAAGAGTCAGACCAAATATCGGGTTTTTATTAACACCACAATCATACTGTCCGAGTATCCTATTATCGAAATCCGAGTAGAGTATCGTGTTTTTTTACGATCCAAGTATCGTATTATCCTCATCGATATAAGTATCTGTTATGATAGATTATAAATTCTATCATGGTGTCTCCACTTCTCCCCCCCCCCCATCTTGCTACCCCACAGGTAACGGTACACACCTGGACCCGAGTCCAGCGGTATTGTATGGTTGACCGGGCCCTGTCCTCGGACTGCGGTCACGAGGGCGGAACCTGAGTCATGTGACCTGTAGGGTAGGGACGCCACAGTCCGGTCGCTCTATCTTTCCCCTCCTCGGAGGTACACGTTTTTTTTTTGGGTGCTAAGGCACTTGCCAAAGTATACTACTTTGGTGCTACGGCCTTTGTTTTCCACGGAGAAATTTATCTAACTTTTTGGCAACGTGTGTAGAGGATTGTGTGGCTTCATTTGAAGGTAATTGAAAACCTACTTTTATTAACTGTACTGTTGTATATTAGGCCTATATATTAATCGATAAGTATGAAATGTGTATAAAACAATGTATGCATGAAAAGGATATTTTTTTAGTAATGTTTATGGCAGGCCCTATGTCAGACTAATGTAAATGTAGTATTATCTTTGTAACAATAGTAAAATTCTATGTGTCAGAAACAGATGTTAGGCAGTTTGTCAAATGTATTTTACAGCCGGCCAGCTTGGGGCTAAAGAGACGCTACAGAGGTCCGTGTGTGAGCAAGTGTGACCACGCCGCCCTGGGGACCAGTCGCCTATTTTAGGATAATCCGACTGAGTCAACACTTTGGATCCGATGTTAATAACTCTATGTTAACCTTCATGTATTAAAAGTTTAAGAATTGTTAAACCTTTGCACTGAGTCCTTTATTGATTCATATTGTTAAACCCTTTGATTGACCCAAGTATTGGTAACCAGTCAATAATAATAACAAAACATTAATAAAACACTATTACGTATTAAGGGACCTCTTGTCCAACGAGACCTAGATTCTAGACCAAACAAGTCATTCTGTAGCTGCGGCTATATATATATATATATATATTTATGTGCGGTGTGACACGATAGAGCATATTTGCCACAGTATCGTGTTATTATCATCGATCCAAGTATCGTGTTATTATCATCGATCCAAGTATCGTGTTATTGATTATCATGTTCAATATTCCCAGAATTGTTCGATCGACACAATGCAAGTATGCACCTGTAAGAAAAGGTTCCCGTAATATCCTGATTGTTCCTATTATAACGTCGTCTTTCAAGGGGTTCAATTGTTTCCCACTAATATAGATCTAGCAGACCTACGTCATCTTCAGACGAAAAAAACAACCCTTTCTGACTAAAATAGTTTAAAAATGTGACTACAACTTTTAATCAAAGCGTGTAAGGTGGCAGCTTACAGAGGATGAGTGTCAATAGGGGTCATTTATTTAAGAAGTTTCTTTTTGTTATCAGTTCAGGGAGGGGACAAGCGAGGTGAAGGTTTAAGGTTAAGATTTTTGTGAACGTCATTAATGAATGACCTTCTATATTAATACGCTGCAACCAATGTTTCTTTCAGACTTTTTTCCTCCGGGGGTGGGGTGGCGGCGTTAGATATTTTTGAGAGAGGGGGCGAACAAAATTTTTCTGGGGGGGGGGGGGGCGAACACTGATAAAAGTATATATTTTCTATATAAATTCTATTACGTTCATGAGGCGGTAGGCTTTCTTCGGGGGTTCATCCTTTCCCCGAACAGATGTCTGGAAGAAACTCTTTCCCTGCCTGTAAGAAATGTCTGGGGGTGGGGAAGGTGAGGTGGCATGGAATGTACGGCTGGGCCCAACTCGGTTTCCGCCTTGTCTACATCACTACTGTACATCGGCTAACTTGTGATTATCATCATCGTCATCACTACTGTATAGCTAACTTGTTATTGTCATCATCATTACTGTATAGCTAACTTGTTATTGTCATCATCACTACTGTATAGCTAACTTGTTATTGTCATCATCACTACTGTACAGCTAACTTGTTATTGTCATTATCGTCATCACTACTGTATAGCTAACTTGTTATTGTCATCATCACTACTGTATAGCTAACTTGTTATTGTCATCACCATCATCACTACTGTACGGCTAACTTGTTATTATCATCGTCGTCATCACTACTGTATAGCTTACTTGTTATTGTCATCATCACTACTGTATAGCTAACTTGTTATTGTCATCATCGTCATCACTACTGTATAGCTAACTTGTTATGTCATCATCGTCATCACTACTGTATAGCTAACTTGTTATTGTCATCATCGTCATCACTACTGTATAGCTAACTTGTTATGTCATCAACGTCATCACTACTGTATAGCTAACTTGTTATTGTCATCAACGTCATCACTACTGTATAGCTAACTTGTTATTGTCATCGTCATCACTACTGTATAGCTAACTTGTTACATCATCATCATCACTACTGTACGGCTAACTTGTTATTATCATCAACGTCATCACTACTGTATAGCTAACTTGTTATGTCAATGGCCGTTTTGACGCCGCACGGCCTAGTATAAACCGTGTTGTTGTGCAGTATGTTTATTAAAAACGTTAAGTGTCTAATAATTTACAGCTCTATATGTGCTATAAATGTATAAACTGGTATCTCTGGGTCGGGTGTCACTCTGTGTCAGCTCTCCCTCCACTACAAATGTCACTTGACGTGTGTGGGGGAGTTGGTGTGTACATGTACTAGAAAACCCCGCTAACAATCGCAGAGTTCTTGCACTTAGGATGTCGCACTGACAAATAACTTATCTATTAAGTCCCTTAGTATACAGTTTATTTATAAAAGGGAAGTAATACATTGTATTCACGATTCCCAATGTTTGATGAGACTATAAGAATACCATTATGCAGCTTATCATGAACATACTGAATTTATTTTTAAAATTTTCAGCACTACTGCACTAATGTTTGATTAATATTGGTTGCTGTTATATTTCATATATCCTTTTACAGATAGTAATATTAGTATGTCAAACTAACAGAAAACCGTAAGAAAAAGAAGTTTGCATTGTTATTGGTAGAGTATAGATCAACTATGACTCAGAATGACAATCAATACAATATTAATGAATTCACAAACATTGCGACTTTATAAAGGATTTATAAAAGTGTGTTCACTGTAATTATTTACAACCAATAGCAAACTGGTTTTTAAATTATTGAAGCATGTTAATTTTACCAAAACAAAAAACATCTTGGAAATAACACATTAAAAAAATCTTTTAAAAACGAACAGAAAGGATAACAATGTACAGTTCGAAATGGTAAGATTTTAAAATATGTGGCAAAGAAATCATCATGCTAATTAATGAACAATGACACTACATAAGAATCAGCACATGATTACATACACAATCAATGTACACGAAAATCAGACAATCTAAAAATCTAAGCATGGTGGCAAAACTCATTTAGCACAGATTACATACACAAAATAAGGCAATTCTAAAAATCTTAGGATGTTGGTAAAACTCGTGCATTATTATGACTTGAGGGCAAAGTGCTTTTTTTTTTAATATTAAAAACTGGTCTGCATATATTAGTAATTTAACAATAATTTGAACTAAGGAAAGCATTAGCCTGTATAAAGTTAGCGATGCATTTATCAACGTCAAAGTTAGTCAGACCCAACCCCCCGCCCCACCCCATATTGGACACATGCTTTTTAGACTGTTTCTTGTCTTAATTAAGTAAAAAATAAATAAATTAATATGTCTTGTAACCTTATCTTATGGGTTTTTATTTAACGACACTATGAAAAGTTTGTGAAATGAAAACCATTAAAAGTAAACTTATGCAAATATAGCTATATTTTCAGCAACACAGGGGATACTGAGTGTTACTAAGGCTTAATCTTGTCTTGGTGCTTGGGTACATGTTTTAGGGTTTCACTTCAGTCTTTAAAAACTTAGCCTTACAGTAAAAAAAAAAACCAATGAGCCCCACCCATATTTAACTTAGATATATATATTGTGATTAATAAATGCATTCATTACATTTTGTGTTTTAAAAATCATAAATTTTTGTTACAACTTTTATGTCTTGATTTATTTTGAGTGGCTTGATGACAACCCATGAAGAAGGCCATGGATCAGATTTACTTTAACGTCCACCAGGATGTGTAGAGTAGAGCTGAGGGTCAGAGTAGTCTCCCCCTCTATTCCAGTAATCCACTGCTCGCACTCGGTAGTGACCTTGAACTTTGCTTTCAGAATCTGGCAGAAGTAAGAAATTAAAAACTTGAATTTTTACATATAATGTGAGAGAAAAAGTGAATTTTTTTTTACTCTATCTCTTACTTTGGCAAATAACATTTAATTTATTGTTAGTTTAAGTTAAATATTGTTACTTAACTCAAATTACCTGTTTTGAATATTTGTACTTAAGTCAAATTACCTGTTTCAAATATTGTTACATAACTCAAATTACCTGTTTCAAATATTGTTACACAACTCAAATTACCTGTTTCAAAGATAAAAATTGTATTGATGTTTTTGACAGTGTTGACCTGAGTGTAAGGTCCTTGAGGTCCAGCTTGAGACAACTGGACCTCATAGGTCAGTAAACACCTGTTCAGAAGTTCAATAACATAGAAAAATTTCTCAAAGTCAAAGGAAGTATATGTAATTATATTTTAGTGAATACAAGTACCCTCCCTTGCATAATAATTAGTAAATTGTATTTGTTGGTGTCTATATTTTAAAGACAATGTAAATAAAAGATAAATATGTCTAGTTTGAAGGCAATGTAAATAAAAGACAAATAAACTACACACACTGTTATTACATTGTATTTGTTGGTGTCTATTTAGAAGGCAATGTAAATAAAAGACTAATAAACTACACATACTGATATTACAGGAATGTTTTAAACTACAGATAAAGAAATGACCTACTTGGTTTGAATGTTTGCATCAGTCCATACGACCATCACCTGGCCAGCAGTCACATTGATGAACCTCACACCTGTTACCTGTGAGGGGAAACAATTAGGCTCATCAGAGGGGGGATAATGCTAAATTTGAACAAAAGGCAAACTGAACTGAAACTCCTAGCAACCACAAAAGTTGCTCATATACAGTTAAAGTCACTTAATAATTCTCACCCACAGTTTTTACTTTCATTTTTAACACCACCCCTGCCCCTATATGAAATCAACACATTATAATATACAAATTAGGTAACAGTGAGCAAACAAATAAAATTAAAACTTGAACAAATTTAAACTTGGTTCTCATTACTTTTTTTTACTAAAAAAATACTACCTCAAATACAAATTTCTTATACCCCCCCCCCCCCCATGTAACACATCACAGTAGACAATGTTTTCTCTAGCGACTACACCCCCACCACTTAACGACAGGAATTTTTCAGTCATTTTTTAAGCAACGCAGTGTTTAAAAAAAAAAGTCTTTTTCTAAAGATTGGCAGAGATTAAGTGAAAAAGATGGTGTAAGGATATTGAAAATCTACAGTTAGCTATTGCAAAATTCCATTGACTAATAAATTTAAAAAAAAAACTCATAAAAACATAATTCAAACTAAATGACGGTAAAATCATTATTAAATAAGGTCACTACTTTCAAATTTCAACTATCTGTAAAATATTTTAAGAAAACATATATAGTTATATTAGTAACTTGGTCTGTGGGTGCTACTGACCTTCTCTGGTGGGGAGAGGGGTTGAGCACACACGTGGAAGAGTATAACATGTGGTTCCAGCACCTGGAACCTTGGAGGAATGGGAACAAATCCTTTGACGGGTGGCACGTCATAGATTGCACCACTTGGTACCTAAAACAGTTGAGCAGTTAGGGATTTTTAAATTAAATTTTTTTTTAACATCCTTAAAACTAAAAACAAAACAATCAATTTGTATAAACTGACTTATATTTATTTTCACCACATTATAATATCTTGAACAGCTTTAATCTTTATCCTAAGGGTTATATATAAATGGGACTGAGTGGTCTAGTGTTTGAGAGCTGGACTGCTAACCCGTGTCTTGAGTTTGAATCCGGGTTCAAGTCAGTAGATCGTCTCTGAGTCTACCAAGCTCTGATGGGTACCTAACTCACGTTAAGGAAAGTAAAGGCGGCTGGGCATACTGCTGACCACACTATCCCTTCATATGCCAAGGTCACAGAAACAAGTGAACTCTAATTCACTTGACCCATAGACCGTCAGGTTTGAAAGGGAACTTTACTTTAAAGGGTTATAATAAAGTTATTGATCTAAACTGGAGTAATGTCATAGTTAGAAGCTAGAAGAAACATAATTATTCAGTGAAATAATGACCTCTTCCTCCCTAAGCCAAGCAAACTGTTTGAGTGTTGGGAAATCTGTTTTGTTGAACACACCGGCCCAGACATCGTAGGGGTTCGACCCACCATTGTACACAATATAAATCATCATCTTCAGGCCTGTTAAGTTGAGTGAACATTTACTGATACGTTTCATCACAATTATCTCTCTTATTCAAACTTGTACAGCCAAAATACTGTTAATTTTACCTTAACTTTTATTGACAAAAAACTGCAAGCTTTTTTAATATTTTTGCAAAACAATTTGGCTACAGTTTAAAAATATATCATATATAAAAAAAATCTGGCAATCGAGTTTTAAAAACAATCTACCAACTACTCAATTTATTTAAATAAAACCTAGCAATTAAGTCAAATGTCTAATGAATAAAAATCTCTCAAGGATGTTAAAAAGTTTTTTCTTTTTAAATCTGCGAAGTTTGTACTAAATTTTATAGACATAATCTGGACACTATCAAAAGTTTAAGGACTAGAATTTGACGACTGTTTTAAGAATTGAAGATAGTTTTATTACTTATGGCATCTGGTGGTGGTATGATGTACCAGTAGACATTCAGGTCAGCGTAGCTTGCGTTACTCCCAGGATCTGACGCCCCATACACCAGCAGGGTTGTCTGCCAACTACAGTAAAACAACATTGGACCATCATCTGTCAGTTAACTTTTTCACCCTTTTTATCTTGAATGGTGTACAGTTGTAAAAATTGGTTTTCTGAATAGAAGTACTTGATTGTTCCCATCCCAGATTCCACTCAGCTCTGATGAGTACCTGACTCTTTCTTCTTAATTTTAGTGTTGGCTTTGCTTTCATAGCCTTTGTCTAATCAAGAACAAACTACAAGGCAGCAGTTGTTTGATTGTGGAGTTGTCACCTGTCCCCATCTGTCGAGCCTCAAATGCCTGAGGGTTATAACTCGAGACTTTTCGGTTTAACAACCTTGAGCTGAGCTTTACCGGCTCGAACACGCCGACCCCAAGTACACAACTCAAGTTTGGGAAAAAAAATCAGTAGCACTGTCCACAAAATCCTTCAGATGAATGTGTTCAAAAGATAGACTCAAGTTTTGCTTCATTGTAGACTATTAGGTCTGAAAATGAGACTTAACTACTAGCATGTAGGTGTAAAGAGTTTTCACCTGTCTGAGCTGTTGGCTGTCCTGCCTGAGCTGTTGGCTGTCCTGCCTGGTTCATGTAAGCTGGCCAGAGCACCGTAGTCACTGGTGTTGGTCACTGGTTGACCCAGGTCACCTGGGGGAGGATATAAAAGGATGTTATGTCACAGGATGTTATGTTACAGGATGTTTTGTCACAGGATGTTATGTTACAGGATGTTATGTCACAGGATGTTATGTTACAGGATGTTATGTCACAGGATGTTATGTCACAGGATGTTATGTCACAGGATGTTATGTAACAGGATGTTCTATCACAGCATGTTTTTTCATAGGACATTTTATTACAGTGCACAGTTAAAGATAAAATTAGTGAGTGTGAGTGCATAGGATACAGAGCAGCAGGTAGCTGGACTTGAGTTCACCCAAAGGGCAGCTTCGGTAGAATAAATACAGGGGAAAAAAATTTGGTGAAAAACCTGAGGGGAATGGGAAAAAGGACAAAACAGAAGTAGACAAAAACATAATGCAGAGAAAAACAACCCATTTTAGAGGACAATACAGACTGAACGTTTACTACTCTACATTCACCAAAAATTAATTTTATGGTCTGCAGATTTCCCAGAGCAAGGAATTCATTATTCAAAGTAAAAACTAATACCACAGCTAGCCCCATTTTTTTCCACCTGATGTTTTTTAGAATAAAATTTTCAGCTTTTGAATTTATGTGTAAGCATTTTTTTCGCCAAGCGACAGCATTTTACTGTTTTGTTAAAGTTTTTTCTTCTCATTTTAAAGATTTCAGAAATTATTTCCTACGTATGCAAATATCCCTACTGTATGCAGGTATTACAGATCGATTCCAGAGCTGTTCCCAGCTATCAAGCCTCATCAGCCCAAAAGGTTGAATAAGGAACTTTTGGTTTAGTAACCATGAGCTTAACCAACCAGACCATGCTGATCCTGCTTTTCTGTCAAATTTAAACTGACAGATATACAACTGTATTCTTATACGAAGATATAAACATATAATGTTAAAGGATTGAAACAATTTTTTTATTAAAAAATAATCTAAATTTAAATTAAAATCACTTGAAACTCACTTGAAATATCAACATGCAGTTGTCTGTCCCCAAGTAAAGCCAACAAGCCCATCATCATATACACGGGCTTGCGAACAAACGTCACATAGTGGGGTGTGGTCTGGTTCATCTGGAACCTGGCCAGGAGCGTACGCTGGGTGAACTGGTTGGGGTAGTAGCTCAGGAAACCATTGTCATTGCTGAGCAGGACGTAGTTCTCTATGAAAGGGTTTTTCCTCGACCGTAGAATATTTTGATGCTGGGAAATCACCTAGGACAGTAAAGTTATCAAACTTTATTCCAGATTTATTTGAAACAATTTTAATGCTTTATTTACACTCACTGCAAAAGTTGAGAAACATTCTTGGTTCAAGGGACATAACCGAGTTTTTATTTAAAAATTATTTATGTATTAGAGTAGTTTCCCCTTAAAATAAAAAAAGAATACAAAATCTTACTTTGACAACGAGTCCTCCATATGTTGCATCTGATCTCCATAGCAACGGTTTGTTCCAGCCCACTATAGGATCAGCCTCACTGAAAGTGTGCATAAAACATTTGCTGTACTCCATTTCATTAAAAGTAAACTATAGATAACATACTTTGATGATTGAGATATGATACAATCGGTAGCAAGGGTAGGTTCCTAAGTAGTCACATCATCCAAGACATGAAAATTATACCCACTCGTTGTAGAAAGGTTTAGCCTGCAGCTCTGGGTACTTTGATTTGATGTAGGCCATAGCTGCAGTCTCCAGTTCCAATATCCTCAGCCCATGACCTTCACCCTTCAATGAAAACAATAGTGATTACTTTAGCAGAGAATTTTATTCATGTAAAAAAAGCGTAAAATTCTGTCATAGGAAGAAGGGCAGATGAAGTAGAGTATATCTTTTTCTGTGGTATAAGAAGAGGGCCAAAGATAGATTGTAAAAGAGGTTTAAAGAAAACCTATCCTCCCTCACCCACACTCTATGCAAGAGACTACATCCCCCATCCAGGTAAAGCAAGGATACACTCCACCATCCCAAGCTACACAGGAGACTACCCCACATCACAAATGTTAAGCAACAGATGCCCCACTGCCCCCCCCCCATCTATATTAAACAAGTGACTAACTCCATCACTGTTATGTAAGAAACTACCCTACTCATTTCAGTTAAACAAGAGACTAGACCCAAACCCTCCTCCCATCTACATTAAATTATGTTAAACAAAAGACTACCTCCCCTCCACATTTAACACCCATCTATGTTAAACAAGTAACTCCCCCCCCCCACCCCCCCCCCCATCTAACAAGAGAATGTACCTGGACAGTCTCACCTTCTCATGCAGGGAGATGAAATCAAGTCTGATGCCAGTTTCTCCAGTAAAAAAATTGGTGCCTCTGACAGAGTGGTTGAACAAAGCATCAGCGTAGTCACTTGATTTTGTCTCCTGCTGAGGTCAAAGGTCAGATGGTATTTGTAAACACCTGTACAGTTAATAACAGACTAGACCACTGACAAGTGTTGTGATAGTCACTGACTTATCAAATACAAGACATGCAGAATTAGTAAAATCTGTAAGGTAGACACATGTATTAACTGCTTATTAACTATAAGTAAGTAAAGTTTCCTTTTTGAAATTGAAGCTCCATGGAGCAAGTGAAGTAGAGTTCACCTGTTTCTGTGACCTCTGCATATGAATGGATAGTGTGGTCAGCACTATTCCAAGCCGCCTTTACTTTCCCTAATGTTAATTAGATACCCATCAGAGCTGGGTGGACTCATGGACGTTGTACTGACTTGAACCCATATTCTAACTCAAGACTTTTGGTTTAACAGTCAAGCTCTCTACCTCTTGGTCATGCCATCCTACAGTAACTATATGGCACATAGAAGTATCAACTAAGGCACATGGCAGTATCACTGATAAGGCAGGAAGATTCATTGACTGACTGCAGATAGACAGAATTATCAACTATAACACACACAAAAATAACTTAAAGCTACACATATTTATCAACCATAAGGCACACAGTAGAAGCAGCTTACCATGTAGGTCCCACATCCATCCCCTGGCCCACCAAATGTCAGAGATTTATCCGCCATTTTTAGACCCTCAGAACATGCATCATAATAGTTCAGAAATCCTTTTAAAAAAGGGAGATAAACAAGATTGTATTTGATTGCCGTTACTTATCTATCTATATATATAATTCTCTTCTTCGAGCCGTTAGAAAACAAGCTGCAAACGCTCTCCCTACCTCCCCACCCCTACATGGTTTTAGTGAGCTGTGTTCACTCTAAATGTTTACAAGCAGAGCCAACGATTTTAAACGTAGAGAGGGGGGGGGGGGAGGAGGGGGGGAGGGAAGGAAGGGGGGGGGGGGGGTTATGGTCCTTAACGAGCTACTTATAGTGTTTTAAAGAAATATTTTCAGTGTCAGCGTTGGTACTGTCGAATTCACAAATTATGAATTATTGAAAATTAGAAACAACTAAATAGCGGCGTATGTTATGCCGCGGGCCGGCTCGTATGAAATAAAACTACAGTTAAATTAATTAGCTTAATTAGGGGTAGTTAATTAAAATAATTAAATTAAAAATGCCTGACATCTTGAAATTTTCTTTTTCTTCACCGTGAAGACAAACACAGCCAGATAAGCATGTAACCAAGTACAGTGTTACATTAATCTGTTAAACTGTTTACAAAGTGTACACAATTTCTATCTACCCTTGACAAAAAAACCCCTACTAATATTTTAAACCTCCTTAAAGAGTTACAGTTACCATCAAATCTTTTATAATGGCATATACATAATCTGTCCAACATTTACAAAGCACTATACATCTGTCATACTTATAACCAAATCTGTCATTAACCTAACCAAATACTACTGTACACATTAACCCCCTGGACTGCTTATAGCCCAGTCTATCATAAACCTAACCCTACTGTACACATTACCCTGACCTAACCCTACTGTACACATTATCCTAACCTAACCCTACTGTACACATTACCCTAACCTAACCCTACTGTACACATTACCCTACCCTAACCCTACTGTACACATTACCCTAACCAAGCCCTACTGTACACATTACCCTAACCTAACCCTACTGTACACATTACCCTAACCCAGGGGTCGGCAACCTTTTGAGACGGAAGAGCCAAAAGTTAAAATTTTGACAATATCCCAGTTTTTAAAGAGCCACTGTTATTTTATTTCAATATTTTATTATTTGATTAGGATTAGGTAAAGAAATTCAATTTGTTATTTAAAATAAATAGCTTTAAATATGAAAAAATATTTATTCATAAAAAAACATACACTTGTTTCGCCAGAATAATGAAATTAGTAATCAAAAAATAAAAAATATAGGACTACGCCAATCCACTTTAGAAGCTGTTTATAGTTTTTTTTAATTTTTTTACGGATAACACTGGCTCAAGAGGTGTCTCCCATTAGCCAGGCAGGCCTCAGCATGGCAAACTCCGACTAACTAACTGGTTTGGATATCGACTTGATTACCGTGTTTCTGTCACCTCGGTCATTTGGTTCTCACCAGGCTTATCTTCCACCCCACAGAGCCCAAGGTAAACTTATACCCCACCGTCCTATACCCGGCTAAACAGTAGGAAGCTAACAAAAACTACGTCACTCACGTCAAATTAATGATTACTGACGGATAGGGAAACGCATTCTAAATTAACATTCCCCAATTAACGATATTCGAAAAAGTCGGCACTTGGGCAGTGGCAAGCATGGAATTGTTGTCATAGGGCTGAGTGTTTTTATCCTGTTTAAACTTGTGTATCTTTACAGTATAGTATTTGTTATGAGTTTTGAAAATAAAATAATGTAACTATTAATTTTTGTGCAAGGAGCTGGAGAGCCACATCATAACACCAAAGGAGCGGCATGCGGATCGCGAGCTGCAGGTTGCCGACCCCTGGTCTACATGATTTTATATATTTAAGTAAACTATGTTTTGCTTAAATAATTACGACAAAGTCAAGTTATAAAGGTAGCGCTATTTAATTGGAAGTTTTCAAAAGTCATTAAATATATTACATATTAAAGCTATTAGTTTCTACTTAAACTAGAATCGCATTATAATAGTTTTCGATATACTAAATACATTTTCAACGATATGATTGTAAGGGAAAAAATATTCTTCTAAAATTGTGCTTGAAATGTTAAGGCCTTGTGTAAATATTCCGTTTTATTAAATATTTTTTACTTGTATCTACTGCATTGTAAATTATTTCCCTTGGTCAAATTGCAACTTAAAATGGGAAGGGACTAAGATATATACAAATAACTATGGATACACAATATTTTAAACCGTTTTATGGAACATATTCGTTCAAAAATTTAAAAAAAGATGAATCAATAAAATAACATAAAAATTAAAAACAATATAACATTTGATATGTTAAACATTAGTGCATATGTTTTGTATCGTTATTATACTTTTCTTAATAACATTCTAAAAATATGTGGTCTGTTTTGTTTTAGTTTTGTAATATGTTATTTGGTGAATTTTCTAATTTTTTGACCAGGTGGTCATGGTGTCTTTATGTTTCAACTTGTTAAATATTTATTTCTGTTCGAACCGGTAGGCATTGTGTCTTTATGTTTCAACGTATTAGTGATTGATTTCTTTGTAAATAAGTACCTACGTGGGTGAATACGTAGACTTGTTTTCTTTTTGTTCACGGTGTAAGTTATATCTACTGACGTGTATTTGGTGTAGACCAGGAGTCAGCAACCTTTCGAGCCAGAAGTTACAATTCAAAACTTTCCCAGTTTTTAAAGAGCCACAACATTTTTAGTTCAATATTCGGTATTTGATTAGGATCTCTCCCATTAGCCAGTCAGGCCTCAACACGGCAAACGCCGACTAACTGGCTTGGATATCGGTTTGAATAACTTGCATCGTTTGCTTCTAACCTTTGGTTCTCACCGGGCTTATCTTCCACCCCACTGAAAGCTGGGTAAAGTCGTACCCACCGTACAGGAAAAATGAAATTATTTAACTATTAATATGTGTGCAAGGAGCTGGAGAGCCGCATCTGGACGTCAAAAGAGCCGCATGCGGCTCGCGAGCCGCAGGTTGCCGACCCCTGCCCTAACCTAACCCTACTGTACACATTAACCTAACCAAACACAACTGCACACATTTAACCCCTGTATTTACCTTGGACTGACATCTTGAGATTATCAAAGTCATGACAATCTGGCTCATTCCATGTCTCAAAGTTCCACTGCCTGACATAAGATATGCCATACTGCTCTGGAAATGCAAAACCTTAAGGTCAAAGTTCAACAAACACAGAAATCATACAGTAATTACCCAATTAATGTGGTACCAACCTATATCTAACGCTTTAAGATGAACAACATTCAAATTTTAAGAAAAAATGAAAATCTTGATAACAAACTTACTTATCCTTGACAAAAACAAACTTACTTATTTTTACAAGAACAAACTACTTAATCTTGACAAAAATAAACTACTTAATCTTGACAAAAATAAACTTATTCTTGACAAAAACAAACTTTCTTATCCTTAACAAAAATAAAGTTATTCTTTACAAAAACAAAGTTACTTATTCTTGAAAAAAAAAAATTACTTATTCTTGACAAAAACAAACTTATTTTTGGCAAAAAACAAACATACTTATTCTTGACAAAAACAAACTTTCTTATTCTTGACAAAAACAAACTTACTCTTGACAAAAACAAACTTACTTATTCTTGACAAAAACAAACATACTTATTCTTGACAAAAACAAACTTACTGATGTACCTGAGTGCAGTCTGTGCAACCAGGTCCCGCCACCAGTACACCTGGGTTCGATTCTCCATGTCCGTGTAGATGTCAGACGGGTTACCCATCAGTTCAAAACCAAGATGAAGGTCATTCTGGTGCATGAGGGCCACAAAGGCATCCAGCAGTGTGAAGTCATAGACTGGACCTTCTGGTAACAGACTGCCAAAGGAAAACTTACCTCAGTCTTGTAATTATAAAACTTATTGGACTCTAATGATCAGGCTCATTCAAATACAAACAGAATATATAAACCATGGGTTTTCTACCTGCTGCTCTTCACATTCAGTGTGAGGTTTAAAATGTTTTAACAAGTCGAGAAAATGAATGTTTAACATTTATTTTAATGTCATTCAGTCTATTTTAATAAAAATAATAATATAGAAAAAATTGAAAGCAGGACACTAAATTTATTTCAGTATATGTTTACTGTATAGGCTTTTTAGTCATAAAAGATATTCCTCCCCTGAACTCTGTTTATCATTTAACAAATAAAACAGTTCTATTGTACACCTTCATCAGGGATTTATAAAGAGGGGTTAGGGTTAACTAATGAAACAATAGAGAAATGTCTATATTTTGTACAATCTAAGACTTGATATTTGAGATAAGTAGACAATCATCAATGCTCTAACTAATCTTGTTGAAAGCATGGAAACTATGTTTTTGATTTATAAAGTACAATGTTCTGATTTTTATAGAGGAATAGAAGCTTCCACAGCAAGCTTTAGATACCGAACTTTTTACCTCTTACATTTCAGATGTTCAAAAGAGGAATCTTAGCTCCCACAGATCCCTACCTTTTGACTTTAACCAGATCAAGAAGCCAGTGAACCCGAACTTGGGAGATCCCATTGAATGGGACAGCACCAATGTAGGCCAAATTCTGCTGCATGTCTGGGCTGAGCATGAAGCTGGCAGCATCTTGGTGGGGCTCTGGAGGGCTAGGAAAAAATGTGTATGTTTGATATGTAGTTTTGGAAAAGTGTATATTTGATAAATGGTTGCTGGTATGGCACGGCACGGCCTAGCGGTAGAGAGCTAGACTGCTAACCCAAAAGACACTTGTTTGAATCCGGTTTCAAATCAGTAGAATATCCCTGAGTTCACCCAGCTCTGATGGGTACCTAACTCACGTTAGGGAAACAAAGGCGGCTGGGCATAGTGCAGACCACACTATCCATTCATATGCTGTGGTCTCTGAAGCTCTACTTCATCTGCCCTATGTATCTTGGGCACAAATAGGAAAAGATGATGATGGTTGCTGGTGAGCTAGGAAAAAATGTGTATATATGAGTAATGTGTTATGGGAGATGATGAAAAATGTGTATATTTCATAAATGAGTTCTAGTATGCTAGGAAAAATGGAAACATGAGAAATGGGTTCTGTTGTGCTAGGAAAAAAAGTATAACAGTTCATTTGAGCAACCACTGCATGTGTTAACACTGTCATGAAGTTAAAAACTTTATGATTAAAACTTGAAATGGACATCTCTGTTAAATATTATACAGTATAAACAAAAAGACACAGAGCTTTCAGAAGCACTAGTCAGTTTTGAAGTATGACCCATCAAGCATGGACAATTTTAAATTTTGCGCTACAGATAACCAATGCTTCTGTATATTAGCTGAGAAATGTTAGTATGGTGTCACTTCCTTTCAAAGCAAAATTTTCTTGTTAAAGTTTTTAACACTTTTATGTTTTATTTGCTCATGTGTGTAACAGATGAAACAGTAAAACTCATTCTAGACAGTTTATGACTAAAAGCTGATATTTACAGCTACCATATTTTCTAACTTGAACCGTGGTAATCTCTAAACCCTACATCCTGTGACGTTTTTTTATTTATTGATCCATACAATTGCGTTTGTGTGAAGATTTGAATATAAGTCTACATAAAGAATGGGAGGTAAGTCAGTAGTAATAGATGGATTTTTTGGGGGATTTTTTAAATAGTACACTACTGAGATTGGTGAGATATATGCATAAAAGATTTAAAATTTTTATTGAGTTAAAATCATGGCACAATGTTTATTTTGTATCTGAATATCTGCTTGTGTAATATAACAGAGGTATTTATTTTATGTATAGATAGAAATTAAAGGTCATCCACAAATGACGTCACACCGAGTGAGAGCTGGTGATGACATCAAACTGATGAAAAGTAGCGCAAGGTGGTAGCTTAGAAATGTGACATCATGAATGGTGTACCAGAGGCCTAGCGAGGGGGGGGGGGGGCACATATCTCCCCAGGCCCCGTCCTTAGGGGGCGCCAAAATGGGTTGGAAAACAAATTAAAATCTCATTTTAGCTGCAGTTTTGCATTATAAATATAAAACAAGTTAATAAAAAGTCTAGTGACAATTTAAGCGCGATTTCCTTAATTAATTTTTTGTGACCGAACGAATCACCCGTAGATGTTTGCACCCCTTTTCGTTTCTCTCCACACGAGAAGAGCTAGTCCCCGCCCCCTCGCGAGATCTGCACGAGTCTGGCCAATGGCAGCGTGACGTTACCTCTCACTAGCGACTGCCTCAGCCGGTGTGCTTGTGGTAGAAATATTTGTATACTCTTATTAATCTTAGCCAATACAAATTAGAAGAAATTAATTTTTTGTGACCGAACGAAAGGATATTTTTGAAAACTTTCTTGGCAATATTGTTCTAAATTATGGCAGGAATCTATTGGTAAATGTTTCAAGTCACTAAGTGGTCTGGTTGCCGAGATATGGGTAAAAACTGCATTTTTTCGAGGTTTTTTGGCTTTTCCGGGAAGTCCAGGAAGGAAACCCGGGAATTTTTTTGGCCCACAATATCCTTGGAACTTGCTTAACATTTTTGCTTTGGAACTAGCCCTCGATATTGCTTCGTTGAGGAAGAGATACGATTTAAAGCTGCCGACATCCATTTATCCATACAGAAATGACGGGTTAATAAACGCAATTCTCCAGAATGGAAATTGCGCTAAAAAAATATATAGGGAGGGGGTGCAAATGGAAATTTTGATATGGGGGGGGGGGGTGCAAATAGAAAATTGAAAGGTTGTACCCGAGGGGGCGCCAAATTGAAAGGCCGGGAAGGGTCGCTGCATCTCTGTGGTGTACTTCTTTAAAAATTATGTAAAAGCTTGTTAAATTTCTGCTTACCAAAAGCCAGTACTTTTCCAGAATGGAATTATTGGACCTCGTACATCTGACGTGTTGAGAGCAATGGTTAAATCAAACCCTGGATCAGAGATTCCCAAACTGGCTAAGACAGAGATCGTGGCTATTGTGACAAACAGGATCTGTACAAAATAATATAAAGTCAGCCACCACATATTTTAATAAAAGTTAGGCCTAGTAAGTACTAGATCTAGGTAATTATTATATTAATTAAATATTACTTTATATTATTATTAGCCCCAATAAAAATAAAATTTACTAGAAAATAACTTTTTTTTTTACTAAACAAAAAACATTACCACCCCCCCCCCCCTACTAAACAATTTATTTATTATCAATTAAAAATAGTAAAATAGGCCTAGTTATTAAATTACTAATTAATTAATGATTAATAATAATTATTAATTAAAGTAATTTAAAAGTTAAAGTTAAAATTAAAACTCTAAAAAAGTAACTTAAAAACTTAAAAATTAAAAAGTAAAGTCAAAGAAGTACCTTGGTAGAGGGCTTGGTAGACATCATAGTAGCTGGTAGATCTAGATCTCATTTCTGCTATAAACGACAACATACTTAGATCTAGATTTCTAGATAGTCTATCTAACTTCACACACTTAACAGATAAAACAGAGACAGTGAAGTTATCGATAGATCTACCTCATCATCACAGCTGCAGCCAGATTAATGTGTAAACAATGGTTGCCGCCCACAATTTTGGTGTAGATTTTCGGGTGTGGGGAAATTGCGAGACGCGAAAAGCGAAATGGCGAGGCGGGAAAATGCGAGAAGGGCGCGAAAACGGTCGGTCACGTGACTTTTTTTGTCTCGCATTTTACCACAAGCCGATACTTACGCTGGGTGGTGTTGAAATGCGAAGATTTCTGCGAAAAATTTACCGCAACCGATTTTCAGTGGTATTTGGTCCAGACTTCAAAGACGTTTCGTTTACATTGTTAAAACTTCCCATTTTTCCGTCGCTAGACATACTGATGATTTGTCAACTCCCCCCCATCTTTTGTGTCGACTTAGAATACCACCTTGTTCGAAACCGACGGAAATACCGCCGACGATAGATCAACTTCTGTCTTTTGTGTGGAACGCCGAGGCCGCCTGATTTACCGTCTTTGAAGATCGCCGTGCCTGGATCCGCTGCCGCCGCAAACATATTTTCTATTATTGCATAGAAATTTTGTATTATAGCCGCCGCCTACGATTTTTTTCTAGCTTTTTTTACCATATAAATCTAAGCACAAGGAAATGCCTACATCATTTGGATACAACAAAATAAAGTGACGTCACCGATATTATCAGTTGCTCGTGCTATATCGTAAGCTATGGGCCTACTTCAAATGTTTTTAAAACCAAGTTGAACTTATCTGAATTTTTTGGTTTTGGTGGTGGTGTTATTTGGGGTCTTCCATAAATGACGTCACACTCGTAGTAGTCGTAGGGGGGGGGGGGGTCTGTAATTTTATGACGATGTGTGATGAGGGGGAGGAGGGGGGGGGGGGTAGATGTGAAGTCACACTATAAAAAAGCAATGTTAGAAAAAGAATTTTAGACGTTTTTTCGCGTTTTAGAAAACTGTTTTAATACATTGTAATAGGAATTGATTAAAATACTCTATTTTGACCGAAATTAGACAAGATTTTGGGGAAAATATCAATGTTTAAAAAAAAAACTCAACTGCTGGTGACAACAATGAGCAAGACATTGCCAAAATTACAGAAATGAGAAAAAATACAAATTATAAAAAACGGAAAACAGATGTTGAGCGTGCGGATGATGATGATGAGAACATGGGTGCCAGTGTTGTTTGTGGGGTGAACGAGGAGGTCAACTGTGATGAGAATGTGAAATGTTGTGAATGTGGATTGGAAGAAGTAGCAAAAGAAAAATGTATAAATGGGAGTCTAATGAACTGGGTTGGGTGTACTATGTGTGAAAGATGGTGTCACGAGGTGTGTTTGAGGACTGTTTCAGAAGATTTTGTTTGTAAATTTTGTTTGTAATTAAAATTACTTAATAAAAAAATAAATTGCACTTTTTAGAATTGTTTATACTTTTACACTTTTTGCAAGTACAAAATTCCATAAATAGATGTTGCAAAATATCTCTCCTGCTGACAAGATTATACCAATTCACAATGACACAGCTCACGTTTGTATAAACATGAACGGGCTAGATTTTTAAATTAATGCCGACTGAGACGGGATTTTCCTCTCGCTAACAAGAGCGGGCGATGACAGTAGCACAGCAACGATGTTAGGATTTTTTAAATAGATAGATCTAGATATAGATCTATCTATCTTCTTAGTATCTAGATAAAAAATAACAACATACAACACTCGTGTTAAAGGGTATGGTTAAATGCTTGTTTATTTTAAACATATTTTAAAAAATAATTGCAATAAATAAAGATGGAAAAAAAAGGAAAAAAAACTTTTTTCGCAAAAAGTGTCTCGCTATTTACCCTTAATTCCGCAGGTATGTCTCGCATTACCTTCTCGCATTTTCCCGCCTCGCCATTTCGCTTTTCGCGTCTCGCAATTTCCCCACACCCTAGATTTTCGCTTGTGTGTTTTTATAATAGTTTCGTTTTTCTAATACTTTATCAGAATTTTCTAAATTTCATTAAAATGTCAATTCAACCTAGATAATTATGTAGAATCTACGTTGTCGTTAAAGACCTCTATTTTTAATCGACTGTGCCGGTGTGGATAATTTTTTTATTTTCAGACTTTCTATTAAAATTAATTTTAAACAGTAGCGGCGTTTGGTGGGAGACGGGTAGGGAGGGAGGTGTGTGTGTGGGCGGAGGGGGGGGGGTGAAAAAGGGTGTACTTGAGCTTCAGTTATGCCCGGGGACATGTCCACGTAATTGAATGAATTCTTCGCTTGGTAAACGGGTAATTGGTGCTCTTTTAAAATCATATATCGATGTCCCGAGATTGTTGATATTTTGATTCATACATGGGGGGGAAAACGGGACGATTCTCAGCATTCTTGCGATATTTGGAGAGTTTTCAGCCGTGTCGTAAGTCCCAGACACTTAACTGAATCTGTGGCCTGGGTCTCCGCGA